AAGCCCCCACACTTCTGTGGATTCCCATCTAGGAGCTCTACTAGATCCTCTTAGTGAATACCAGAAAAGAAAATCTGTGCTTCCACCAGAGAGAGGAAAATGTTGAAATACAACAGAGCATTCTGATAACAAGAGCTGCCCTCAGGAGCAACTGTTTTACTAGAGTCTAACTTAGAAAAGTTTTATGAGAGCCTAACCAACTTGGGGAAAGATAAATACCCACTCCAGCCACCCTGTCTCACCTAAGGGATGCAGCGGGACTGAGAAGCCCTTGTTACGTTCTCCGTTGGGGGCACAGGCTCCCCAAAAGACTGGACTTAATCATAAGACTATAAAAGACTTCCTGTCCCCCACACCTCCTCTTCATTACTAAAGACCTACTTACAGAGTTCCAGTCACCTGGTACATTATGTCTGTTTGGCCTTCAACATAAAATCACCAGGCATACTGAAAGAAGAGACAGAAAAAACATCAGAACCAGACTTAGACATGGAAGGGATGTTGGAATTAGGAGACCAGGAATTTAAAACAGCTATGATTAATGCACCAAGGGCTCTAATGGGAAAAGTAGACAACATGCAAGAATAAATGATCAATATAAGCTGAAAGAAAAAGGAAATTCTAAGAAAGAATTAAAAAAAAATACTAGACATCAAAAACACTAAAAGAAATGAAGAATACTTTCGATGGGCTTGTAAGCAGGCTAGATACGGATGAAGAAGGAATCTCTAAACTTGAGGAAATGTCAGTAGAAACTTTCAAAACTGAAACTCAAAGAGAAAAAAGACTGAGGGCGGTAAAAAGGAACAGAATATCTGAGAACTGCGGGACAACTACAAAAGGTTTAACTTACACATAATGGGAACACCAGCACAAGAAAGAGAAAAACAGAAGAAGTACTTAAAGCATAATGATCGAGAAGTTGTCCAAATTAGTGTCAGACATGAAACTACAGATCCAGGAAGCCCAGAGAACACAGGATAAATGCAGAACAAACCAACCAAAAAACCCTATACCTAGGCATATCACATTCAAAGCAGAAAATCAAAGATACAGGAAAAATCTTGAAAGAGGCCAGAGTAACTTCTACAGGAGCAGAGTTAAGAACTACATCTGACTTCTCCAAAGCCATGCAAGCAAGGAGAGTGGAGTGAAGTATTTAAGGTGTCCAAGAGGAAAAACAAACCACCAACTGAGAAATCTATACCCTACAAAATTATCCCTCAGAACTGAAAGAGAAGTACTTTCTCAGACAAGTGAAAGTTGAGAAAAATTGTTGTCAGTAGACCTGCCTAGCAAGAAATGTTAACAGAAGCTCTTCAGAGAGTAGGAAAATAGTATAGGCCAGAAACTAGGATGTACATAAAGAAAGGAAGAGCACTGAAGAAGGAATTAGTGACAGTAAAGTTAAAACTTTTATTTTTCGTATTCTTAATTAATCTAACATAATAGTTCAGAATAATAATAGCAACACTGTATTTGACATATATATGCTTGTGTGTAAGTGAAATGAATGACAGCAATGACACAAGGGACAACAGGGAGATATTAGGAATATTTTATTTTTATATGGTACTTGCACTACCCGTAAAGTACTGTGGTGTTTTGCATATTGCAAAATATTGGACAACCACTTAAAAATGTTTTAAAAAGTATAATTGACATGCTAAGAAAGGAGAGAAAATGGTCATATAGGATGCTCAATTAAAACCACAAAAGGCAGCAAAAGAGTAGAAGGCAAAAACAAACGAGCAATGACAAGAAAACAATAATAAATATGGTAGGTATCATTCCAGCTATATCAATAATCATTTTATTTTTTTAAGACTCTACTTTTAAGTAATCTCTGCACCCAACGTGAAGCTCCAGTTCACAACCCCAAGATGAAGAGTCCCATGCTCTACTGACTGAGCCAGTCAGGTGCCCCTCGATAATCACTTTAAACATTAATGATCTGAATTTGCCAATTCAAAGAGATTGTCAGAGTTGAATAAATGGCAAGACCTGACTATATGTTGTCTACAAGAAACCCATTTTACATATAAAACACATGTAGACTAAAAGTTAAGGGATAGAGAAAAATATACCATGTTGACACTAATCAAAACAAAGTGGGAGTAGCTGTATTAATCTGAGACAGAGCAGACAGCTGAGCATAAAAGTTCAGTATAAAGAAGGACATTACATAATGATAAAGGAGTCAGTCCTCCAAGAAGAGGTAACAATCCTTAATGTGTATGCATCTAACAACACAGCATCAAAATATGTGAGGCAAAAACTGATATATTTGCAAGGAGAAATAGGTAGATCCACTCTTAGTTGGAGGCTTCAACACCCCTTTGTCAGAAATGAACAGATCCCAAAGGCAGAAAATCAGCAAGGACGTAGTTGAATTCAACCACACTGTTAATTAACTAGATATAACTGACATCCATAGACTACTTCATCCAACAGGAGCAGAATTCACATTCTCCTCAAGGTCACATGGAACATTCACCAAGAGAGACCACGTTTTGTGCCACCAAATACAACTTAAAAATACAAAAGAATACAAATCATGTAGTATCTACTCTCAGATCACAATGGAATAAAACTAGGAATCAATGACAGAAAGATAGCTGGAAAATCCCAAAGTTCTTGGAGACCTTACCACACGTTTTTAAATAACACATGGGTCAGAAAAAGGAATCTCGAGAAAACACATTTTGAACCAAATGAAAATGAAAAACCAACTTATCAAACTTTGTGGGATGCAGCAAAAACAGTGCTTGGAGGGAGATTTATAATAGTGAATGTATATACTGGAAAAGAAGTCAATCTAAGCTTCTGCCTTAGAAAATTAGAAAACGAAGAGTAAATTAAATCCAAAGCAATCAGAAGAAAGGAAATAAAAATTAGAGTAGAAATCAATGACATTGAAAACAGGAAATCAATAGCAAGGTTGCAGGATACAAGGTTAACACACAAAGTCAATTGCTTTTCTATATTCTATAGGAACGAGTGGAATTTGAAATTAAAAACACCATATAATTAGCACCCCCCCAAATGAAATAGTTATGTATCTAACAAAATATGTTATAAGATCTAAATGAGGAAAAATACAAAACCCTGATGGATAAAATCAAAGAACTAAATAAATGAAGAGATAGTCCATGTTCATGGATAGGAAGACTTAATATTGTCAAGATGTTAGTTCTTCCCAGGCGCCTGGGTGGTTCGGTTGGTTAAGCATCCAGCTCTTGATCTCAGCTCAGGTCTTGATCTCAGGATCGTGAGTTCAAGCTCCCCACTGGGCATAGAACCTACTTAAAAAAAGAATGTTAGTTCTTCCCAAATTGACCTATAGATTTAATGTAATCCCAGTCAAAACCCCAGCAAATTATTTTGTGGACATAGACAAACTGGTTCTGAAGTTTATACGGAGACACAAAAGACAGGTGATAGCCAACACAATATTGAAGGAGACAAAGTTGGAGGACTGACACTACCCAACATCAGGACTTACTGTTCAGCAACAGTAATCAAGACAGTGTGTTATTGATGAAAGAATAGACAAGCAGATGAACGGAACATCATAGACAGCCCAGAAACAGACCCATGTAAATATAGAGAGAGTCAACTGACTTTTGACAGAGGAGTGAAAGCAGTACAATGAAACGAGGGTCTTTTCAACAAATGGAACAACTGGACATCCACATAAAAAAAAATTAATCTAGACACAGACTTTACACACTTAGCAAAAATTAACTAAAAATTGATTGTAGGCCTAAATACAAAACTGTAAAGGACTGTTGATAAGGACTGTTATCCAAAATATACAAAGAACTCTTAAAACGCAACAATAAGACAATGAACAACTCAACTGAAAAGTAGACCCAATACCTAAACAGACACCTCACCAAAAAGATATACAGATGGTAAGTAAGCATATGAAAAGGTGCTACACATCATATGTCATTAGGGAACTGCAAATTAAAGCAAGAGTGAGCGACCACTACACACCTGTTAGAATGGCCAAACTCAAACGCTGACTCTTCACTGACAGCATGAAATGCTGGCTGATATGCGGTACAGCAGGAGCTCTTGTTCATTGCTGGTGGGAATGCAAAATAGTTCAGTCACTTTGTACACAGTATGACATTTTTTTTTCAATTCTTTCTTCCCCCAGCTTTGAGATGTAATTGACATATAATATTGTATAAGTGTAAGATGCAGGTTAACATTTTCTTACAAAAGTAAATAAACATGCTGTTGGCAAATGATCCAGGAGTCACACTTGCTGGTATTTACCCAAAGGAATTGAAAAGTTATGGACATCAATGTTATGGCATCTTTCCTTATAATTGCCAAAACTTGGGAGCAGCCAAGATATCCGAGAGTGATGGTACTTGTACTTTGGTATGTATAAACAATTGAATATTATTCAGCTCTAAAAAGAAATGAGCAATCAAGCCATGGAAACACATGGAAGAATCTTAAATGCATATTACTAAGTAAAAGAAGCTAACCTGGTATGTAAATTCTACTTCAGAAAACAGCTTTTAAAATGGTTTAGATAGAAAAAAAAGTTTGAAAAAATGAATAAGAGGTCGAAATGTTAGGAGATGTTTCTTGGTCACAGTACTGTAAGTAGTTTTTCATTTCTTTTTTCGGGCTCTTGGGTTTCCCAGACGTAATAAAATGATCACATATTACCTACCTAGTAAGATCTTTTAATACTTGTGACAATTAGTGACTGCGCTCCCTGCTGGTGAGAGGACGAACACACACACACACACACACACACACACACACACACACACACACACA